CCTTCGCAAGGAAATGGGCCAAATACCCCAGGGAGCTGCACRTGACAAGCAATCCATACTAATATGCACGCAGCCATCAGGTGGTATATGACTATCAAGTCATATCTTGATAGTCGTAATCTCATAGTCATAATCTCATGTTGTCTAGTGGCACTATTTAAAGTTTTCCAACAGAGGAATGAAAACTGCAGTTCTGTAAGGACAGGTGACCACGGCATTTGCAAGAACTCCTTGCTGAAGGAGTTCCTGCAGGAGAAGGAGTTTCTGAAGCAGATGCTCCAGAAACCTGTCCAAGATGGTGCTGGACAACAGCACAAAACTCTACAGCAGATGCCCTAATTCATGGGTGGGAGCTCTGTATCTCAGAGGAACCTCCATCTCTTCCTTTCCAGAAGAACCCATGCTGTGAGGAGGTCAGGTAGAAAACAAGGCACCTTCAGATTCCCACTTGGCTCCATTTTCCTAGACTATAAATCAGGTAGTGAGAAATCCCATAAATACCTTAATGAGTCAGGAACCTCCTACAAGCACCTGGACAAGAACCTTTTGTTGTCAGATGGCTCCAAGGGCGCTGCCTTCATTTCACATGAACCAAGACCTCAGCTACAGTTTATAATTTTTAAGAGGATGTTTATAATTTTTAAGGGGATGTTAAGGATGATGCTAGTGGCTCCTGGCATCATCCTTAACATCCTCATTCTCCAGACAGGGGATTAACCCGCTGCCTTCCCCCGTGGCACACAGAGAACCCCGCTGCTTTGGCAGGGACAAGCACAGGTCAGGCAGCCCATTCTCAGCGCGGAGGCCGCCCGCTCCTGCAGCACACTGTTTGCACTACAGATGGTTTTCAAACAGCGAGGCTAAATCTCCAGATTTTCAGATTTTCATTGTCCTCACGTTCCACCTCACAGCAGGTCTCCCTGCTGAAACACTCCTCTGCCTCCAAACCACAGTGCCTCACTTCCTTCCACCCACACGGCCAAACAGGATCTCCGGAGAGACGTACCGGATTTGCACAGAACGGGCAGATTACCAGCTCTGCGGGCTACAACTTTGACTCCTGCCACTGTCGGGAAGTCTCAGGGGACAACAAATTCTCCTTTTCCTACCCACTGCCTGCTCTTTCCTCCAGCAGTGAAGTCAGTGCCTCTGGAGCAAGACYCATCCCACCGATTCAAGCGAACCTGTGCCTGGTGAGAAAGCAGACACAGAACCCTCTAAACGCACCTGCAAGATCAAATCCTACCRGCCCAGTGCACATTTCTTTTCCAGCTGCAATATGTCACAAGGCATCTTCTTTCCAGGACATTTCATTGCCCTTTCCCACCATATCTTGCTGACACTCACATGAAGTCTGGAGAGGCTTTGCTGTAGCAGAATAGATCTGGGAATCTCTATATAATCCATATTCCTCATAGATTATTTTCCCTGATTCAACCACACTCCAAAGCTAYGAAAACTGGGGCTGAAGAGGGATCTCTGGATATTTATGCCTTCTAGATATTACRGCTTTCCAGCAGTATGGCAACATCCTCACGCTTGCACTAGGAATAAAGCGGCGCTTTTTCCTTCCTTGAATCAGACAACACTAATTTGGGACTGCGAGGAGTGTGTGTCTCAGCTCCTTAGTCTCTGAGATATCTCCAGAGAGCCTGAAGAGCCTGTGCAGGGCACTTTCCTGGCACTCTAAAACTCACGCTTAGGTTTACTCGTGAGGAAGTTTATCTCCTRCTTGTTCGTTTCTTCCTCGGTTGTCAGCCAAGTGCGATGCCTACTCGGATTTTACCCTAGGGAGCCCTATCGTAATGGGCTGAGCAGGTCTGCAAAGAGCTTTAGGCGCCCACAAGGGGCTCTGAGTGCTTGGGCAGCTATTTTTATCAGCCTACAGGCATTTGACAATTAGGATCTCGGTAAAGACGACATATGAATTGCACAACATAACCTGACAGCTGTCAAGCKAAGGAATGAACGCTTAACACTGCAGCTTTCTCTAGATTTCACCAATGCAAAATACCACATCACGGCATGCACCGAAAATAACCAAAGGCAGCACTGCCAGCGGCTCCCAATTGTGCATTTCCTACATGTKTTAACCTCCTTACCTGTTGTAAATAAATCTTGTAAGTCACCGCTTGCATCCGTTGCAATGTTGCTTAGCACTTGTGCTGCATCACTGCACACAGCGTTTTCCCAGCAAGCAGCACCACWCAACAGACCCACAGCTCAGACCCCAGGTGTCCAACCCTGCTCCTTCAGCCCTGACGTGTCTCCTGCAGCAAGCACGTCCACAGCGGAGGCCTGTAATGGGTCAAGGCTCATACCTTCATGAGCATGAGCTCAGTGCTGCTCTTTAGAGCTGCTGTCAGTGAAAAGACTCAGATACTAGTACCTTAGAGAGTTTTCTTTTCCAAGAGGTTTGGTCAGCTAATCCACCGGAAAACCAACCACCTGCAAGAGAAGGTTTTAAGTGATTTATCCAGCAGCAGCCCTGTTCCAAGGTTCAACAGAAGAAGAGGCAGCAGAGATCCATAGCAGCAGTGTGGGAGGTAGAGAGGGATTGTCTAATGCAGGGGTGTTATTACAGCAAATATACAACTGTGGTAAATGCAAGCCATGTCTGGAGCCTCAGATGTGAGCAGAGGAGTGCTTGTATTTCTCTCAGAAGGTTTCTGCTCTCCGTTTCCTAATTAGCAACCTCTGAACTTTTCCAAGAGCCATTTCGGTCCAACAGTCGAGCAGGAATCCTACTCACTGCATCCGCACACGGAACTGGCTTGCTGCAATGGCAAACCACGCTCCTGGATGGGACACCCAGCACATTTCCCGGGTGCAGGGAATGGCAGCCACCAGACTGTGTTGACYCACAGGCAAGAGACAGGCCTGGTGACCCAAAATGGTCACCCAGCAGGGCACGGATTCAGCACAAAGGGCCCACATATAAATCTCCTTAGGCTCTACATATAAATTTCTTTAGACGTTAAGGGGAACCCTTAGCGTCCACATAAAGCCACAGGTTCTAAAGAGATCAACTCTGTCATCTAAAATACAAAGGGTTTCTCAGGCCCGTTTTTTGTTGTTGCTTTTGTTTTTACCATTGCTAAACATCTTGATACAAAAAAAACCCAAAAAACTGAGATATCAGTGGCATTGCTCTACCTGATTTGGGCCAGGCCTTGTGTGATTTGCAGATTACAGCAGTCTGTTCCTTTTTTTTTTTTTTTTTTTTTTTTTTTTTTTTTTTTGCTATTACCTTTAAATGCTTAAATGTCAACAGCATCCAGGTGTCTAACAAGATCTCTAGTTCATCTCCCAGAGCCCAGGGAAATGCTTGCAAGTGTAAGAGAGGTTGGCCCTCTACTGAACTAATACAAAACTACATCTCTGGGAGCATCTTCAGTCCCATTGAGGACCATCCTGTGCACAGAATGACCGTGTAGCATCAAGCTACGCTTTGCAGCATTCCCTGCCTTTCCCTTCTACAGTCACTGCCCTGACCAAGACAGATTCTCAAACCTTACCTGGAGAAAGCCATGGCAGCGGTTCTGCCAAAAGGAGGAGAAAAGAAGCTTCAAGATAAAACAATATAATAATTAATATATGCTTTTACTGTACTCTATTTTTGTTAGCACCACTGAGTCCAGTTAGCAATAGAAGAACAAGAYAGATTCTCTCTTGGCTCAGGCCTCAAAAGCCTATTTTGTTAGAAGAGTTTTGATAGCACTTGATGGCACTTTTATAACAACTTATACTTAGCTATCAATTACAAGCCAGAAAGAGGACAGTATAATTTTCACAATCTGTTGCAAAGCCTGTAAAAGGGAAAAAAAAATCATCACACACAATATGTGCAAGTTTTACGTAGAAGTCTGTTGTGTGGAAGCCCACAATACCTTGTATGACCCACTCCACAATTTCACTGGCATCACGTGCATGCTGGTAATATCTGATGACTTTTCAAGTCTCCTCTCCAGCAAAGAAGCATTTGTGTCCTGCTTTCCAAACACTATCATTTTTTAGTCTGTTGAAGAAGCAGGGAGGACTTGGCTCACACTCTTCTGTCAGTGCAGGAGGCTCCAGGAGCCGCCAGCTCCCTCAGGAATGGCTCACGAGGTGGCTCCACGTCACCAGCCTGCCACCACAAACACCAACAGAACTAAAATCTCTTTTATGTCCTGACACGTATGTCCTTTTCTTACATCTAAGATATCCCTTTACCCTAGTAGTTCTTTTTCTTTTCTTTTTTAATTATTATTTCCAGGCAGTTCTGGACTTTCTGGACACTTGGTGAACTGTGCAGGGGAAGGCAACGGCCGATTTCAAAGAAGCTTCATTCACAGAATCAGAGAATCCCAGAATGGTTGGGGTCGGAAGGGACCTCTAGAGATCTTCCAGTCCAACTCCCTGCTCCAGCAGGGACACCCAGAGCACGGGGCACATCCAGGKGGGTTTGGAAGATCTCCAGAGAAGGAGCCTCCACAGCCCCTCTGGGCAGCATTTCCAGGGCTCTGTCACCCTCATCACAAAGAGGTTGTTCCTCACATTCCCCATCATGTTACCTGAACCGCGTGTGCTTGCCGCGACCGCGTCGCCCTTGCCGGCTGCCCCGACACCCGCCGGCAGCCGACGCACCGCATCCCTCTGCACACACACACGGAGGRCACGGAGACGACCAGCAAGAACCAGCACGGATTTGCCAAAAGCAAACCACACCTAATGGCCAAACGCACATCACACCTTCGCAGCGAGGTGATGGAAGAGGAAAGCCTTGGTTTGCACAAGGTCCTGACGCCGTCTCCACAGTACTGTTAAAGCCAAAGTGGTCCCTTGCCATGGAGGTAACTGGAGGCTTAGCCAGGGCGGCTCCAGCCCAGCTGCTGCCCGCAGCCCTGAGGGTCCGATACCGGTGCCGGGACTGCTCCTCCTCCTCCTCAGCACCCAGCAGCAGCACCCAGTGCGCTCCGGCCGAGCCCACAGGCCCCATGAGGCCGCRGGAAGCGCTAATGCGGGGAGAGGCAAGGCCGCCCGCGGCACACGGTGCGTGCAGGCCGTGCGGACCCGCACGTGCGGCGCAAGGGCGGCACAGGGCGGAGAGCCCAGCGCGGGAGGAGGAGCCTGCTGGGGCCAGCCCCGGCCCCGGCCCCTGCCCCTGCCCCGGCCCCCTCGGGAACGGCAGCGCCGGGGCCGGGAGTGACAGCGCCCAGCGCGGGAAGAGCCCCGCGCTCCGACACGCAGCCCCGCCGGACACACAGCCCCGCCGGACGCGGCAGCGCCGCCGCGCGGGCCGCTCCAGGG